AAATGCCTAAATTAATTCATTTGCAACTATATATGACTACATGCGACGACTCGTTGACCAGTTTCACAGCTAAACAATTCAAACAAAATTACCGCTATTTTCATAAACTGAAGTCACTTTCAGTATCGCTAAAGAAGTTATCTCCAGACGTATTGCCAGACATATTGACAGCAATTAAAGGTATAAAGCGTTTGAAAATAAGCGGTCGTTTGCACGAAGACATGGTAATAGCGAGCCATACATTTAGTAAATGCAAACATTTAACACATCTTACACTTGGTGTCGATGGATATGTAATTAATGACCAATTTTTTCTCGATATTCACAAAAATATACCACACCTTCAATACCTATATCTAAAAAGTGTTGACATAACTGATGATTCAATTGATTCATTGTCTCAATTAAGACAAATTCAAACCATTAGACTTCATGTAAATCATCCCATTGATAAAGATTATTTAAAATTAGCATCAACTAAGCTATACAAGCATTGTACAAAATTATGTAAAATTCAGTTTTAAATGTTACCTACTGTATTTAGTATAAATAATGTTCATACGTCAATAATAACTTCAGTGTTTAACAAATAAATTAAATGCTAATCAATTCAAGTTGTTATAACTATTAATATAAAAATTATACATTTTCTTTTGAATACTCAAGAAATCATTTAAAATTCAGTAAAAGTAAGTTATTTATTTATTTTGTTTAGATTTCAAACTTAATGTAGATAGTGTATATGAATTAAAAGTTGAGTCAAATTAATATTTAGTGCATAATATGAGATCAATATATTTAGTGCATATTATGTATCAATACTGAGGTGCATATTTAGTGTAGTTTTTGTGCTAGACCCAAATGCAATACAAATAAATCAAAACATGGACTTTAACAGACATATGGCTATACACTGTAGTGCATATTTAGTGTAAATTTAGTGCCAGATCCTAATGCACTACCAATAAAATTAAAACTTGAACTAGATATTATAATAGTTCAGATAATAAGTGACAGATATTATAATAAATAAATTATGTAATGCTATAAAATTGATTAGATCATAACAAATGTATACAGCATAATAAATGTGCACTAATTATAAAGCCATTCAAATATTATTATTTTCTAAACTTATTATTATGTTATAATGTTATAATTAAAATAAAAGTTTTAAAGTTCATTAATAGTTTCCTGATAAAAATATTCCATATTTCAAAACACAAATATTTTAGTTTGTAATTTTTAACTAACTTTTATTTATTTTTCAGTGTATACTAAACTGCTAAGTGTTAACTGTTAGGTAACAGTTATCAGTGCAGTAGTCTAGTGCACTTATAATGCACTGGTATGTAGATTTTACTTGTAGTCAAAGTCTACCACATTTTCCATATAAATACCGGCTGTTAAACCATTGCCAAAGTCATTAAAACATTGTGCCAAAAATATAAGTTGTAATAAGTTGCAATATTACTAATCAAGTAAAACAGTTGCTAATATATCTGATTGTGACCGACATGTCCAACGCATCGACAACTGTTCCCACTTTAGCCTACTTCCCGACCAGAGGTTTGGCTCAACCCATACGTCTATTGTTGAAATACACGGGAACTCCGTTTGACGACAAACGCTACGAATTGGGACCCGACGTCCCAAACCTGCTCCAGAATTTCCGCAAAGAGAAGTTCACATTAGGACTGGACTTCCCTTCCGTTCCCTACTATCTCGACGGCAACGTAAAGCTCACGCAAAGCATAGCTATACTAAGATATTTAGGCCGTAAGTACGGGTTAGTGGCCGGGGATGAGGCGGGACTCGTGCGCCAGGATTTGGTCGAACAGCAGATCCAAGACATAAAACAATCATTTTTTGAGATAATATTCAAAAAAGAAGATTTTGAGTCCAAAAAAGACAGTTATATCGCCGAAACACTACCACAACAATTGGATCAGTTGTCGAAGTTCTTAGGCAGTCATCAGTGGTTTGCGGGACAGACACTAACTTACGTCGACTTCCTGGCCTACGAGGTGATCGATTGGCTCCGACTGTTTAGCGCCGACACCGTCAAGAAGTACCACAATTTGGGTGAATATTTGGATCGATTCGAGAATTTGCCACAAATTAAGGCTTATATGAAATCCAAGAACTTTATAAGTTGGCCAATCGGGGGACCACAGGCTTACTGGGGGTTCAACAAGGCAATTAATTAAAAATATAAACTTTTTGATCTATAATATAAGACATCAATTTGATAAAACTTTAATCCATGATAAATAATACTGTAATAATATTTTAATTTCAGTAAAAAACGCTTTGAAATTTATTAAATGGTTTAATTTTATTTGTTTAATATAACATTGCAATGTTTTATATTCATATTAATTATTACAAAATTAAATATAATCATACAAATTAATTAAACACAACTATTTTAGAGATAATAAACACTACAATAATACGTAAATTTATAATAACTTAATAATTTAAATTAATATATCACTTGCAATTTCAAAAAATCTTTAATATTTACTTTTTAATTTAATATTTAATTTTATATAAGTTTGATAATGAAAATAATGACACTTTACTTATTTACATAATTTATAGAGAATAACACAATTACTTACATTAATTAGCAAAACATACATTACTCTACATTTTAGTCCATAATTACTTTCAATAACACAATGAATGACATAATAGTGAACACATAACCAGAGACTCAAAAATCTAAAACAGACTCACAATCCATGTCCGGATCTCTGATATAACCGATCACTTGGGCCACGTATGCGAGATATTCCTCGGGAGTGTCCGACTTCAGGAACAGGTGAT